TCAGTGTCTCATCCGTTAGGAGGCAAGGCGTGCGGTGGAAAGAACCCGGCTCTGCACGCAGGTGGTCAGGAGGGGCCCCTCAGATCCACAACCACTGCAAACCCCTCCCCCTGAAGACTAAGAAGACACCTACATCTGGACTGTGGAGATTAAACGAGGCAGATGCATAGAATGGTCTCCTGCATACTCTCAGCAACTCTGTGAGGGCCAGTGCTCCGGCCCCTACTGCCGCCTCCCAGAGGGAACAAATGACGTGCTGCCTGGCAGAGAGAAGAGCCCGGGGCTCAGTGTGTCACTCCCTGCCTTGGCTTTAGTCTGCAGTGTGCCATCCTGAGGGGCCCAGGGGCTCAGACCACAGTGCTACCTTTCAGAGCCTGCCATTGGCTCTTTCTAAGCATCCAGTTGGATGGGCAATTCCCCTATACCTGGAAGGCCAGAAGGAATATAACTTGGGGCCTGGCAGACATGCACACCCCACGGAAACCACCATGGCCCACTTTTTTTGTTTCTTCTTTTTTTTTGAGACAGGGTCTAGCTCTGTCACCCGGCTGGAGCGCAGCAGCATGATCTAGGCTCACTGAAAGCTTCACCTCCTGAGTTCAAGTGATTCTCCTGCCTCAGCCTCCCTAGTAACTGGACTTACAAGCATGAGCTTCCACACCCAGCAATATTTTTGTATTTTTAGTAGAGATGGGGTTTCACCATGTTGGCCAGGCTGGTCTCGAACTCCTGACCTCAAGTGATCCACCTGCCTTGGCCTCCCAACTTGCTGGGATTACAGCTGTGAGCCACGATGCCTGGCAATAATTAGGTTCTTAATGAAAAGCTTAGTTAGTAGAGAATAATGGACTAGGCCTCTGTCATCAGACACCTGATCCTACCATTTCCTTGTCCTAAGAAACTCAGGGCAAATTACTGAAAGTCTCTCTGAGCCTCAGTTTCTCTATCTGTTCAATGGGAAAGTTACCACCTACCTTTGACAATCTTTTTTTATTTTATTTTTTGAGATAGGGTCTTGCTCTGAGGCCCAGGCTGGAGTGCAGTGGCGTGATCTCAGCTCACGACAACCTTCAACTCCCCAGCCTCAAGGAACTCTCCTGCCTCAGCCTCCTGAGTAGCTGGGACTACAGGCGTACGCTACCATGCCCAGCTAAGACCTTTGACAGTCTTAAGGGATGTTCAGTAAACGTCATTTCTCTTTCCTTCCTCAAGAAGAAACACTCAGGCACCAGTTCACACAATTTCTTTGGCAGTAAGAAGACTGAACAGATCCGGTTCCCAATTCCGGCCTTCAGGGAGCCAGAGAGGAAGGGTGGCCTGCTGGGCAGGCATCTCCAATTACGATGTGGGGCTGTCTCTCTGGGCAAAACCAGAGTAAAGATGGACCTTGAAGGGCCCCATTCCAAGGACAGCATCAGAGTGTCATGGAGAGAATGAAATCAAGAATTCTGAATGCCGGCCTGGCCACTTTTCAACTGGGCGACCTTGGGAAGACTGGTCAAATTCCCATTCTGAGCCTGAGCTTCCACTCTGGAAGAAGAAACGATGCGAGGCCCAAGAGGGCCTAGAAATCAATGGGTGCTCCACCGTGCCCCCTGCTGACGGGTGTCTAACTCACAGCCTCTCCTGTGGGATCCCTCCTACCCTGATCCCAGCCACAGAGAAGCCCGGAGGTGTCTCATAAGCTGTGCTCTCAATAGTGATGGAAGTAGCCAGTACTTCTTGAAGAGATTTAGTAACTGAATATTAGCCAAGTAATGTTACCTGAAAAGTAGAGGGAATATTTTCCCCAGAAATTGCCAACAGTCAGTTTTAAGTGGCTAGGAAACCCACTGTTAATCCAAAAAGAAAATTTGACATAGGAAAATTTCATTTTGGGAAAATGCAAGTCAATGCAAGAGTCAGCATGGGAACTCCCTTTTAAGGCCTCCTTTAAACAAATCTTACGTAGCTTCGCCTAGTAGGTTTTCAAAGATACTTTGCTGAATGCATGAATGGACAGACGGAACGACAGAGGGATGGACATCGGCTGGGAAGGAAGAAATGAACTTCATGGGTGGACTGGCCAGAGAGCTGCTGGCTGGTGCTTCTGAGCCCTGATGAGTCCCAGAGTGCTCAGCGGCTCCAGGAGACAATCTAGCTCTTAATCAGCCCTATCTTGCTGCCCACAAAGCTGGTTATTTTATTTTATTTTTGAGACAGAGTCTCACTCTGCTGCTCAGGCTGAAGTGCAGTGGTGCCGTCTCAGCTCATGGCAGCCTCCGCCTCTGGGTTCAAGTGATTCTTCTGCCTCAGCCTCCTGAGTAGCTGGGATTACAGTAGCTGGGATTACAAGCACCACCACACCCTGCTAATTTTTCTATTTTTAGTAGAGACAAGGTTTCATCATGTTGTCCAGGCTGGTCTTGAATCCCTGACCTCAGGTGATCTGCCTGCCTTGGCCTCCTAAAGTGCTAGAATTACAGGCGTTGAGCCACCCTGCCTGGCCAAAGCTGGTTATTTAATGTGCAATTAGAAGTGAGAGTTGAGGCAAGAAGTCAGGAGGACTGAATCTCTCCCCTCCACTTCAGACACCCTGCATCCCCTTCCGCTGCCCCAATCCTCTAAGTTTCCGAAGCACTTTGATATTCCCAGTGGAGATGAAGATCTGTGATTCAAGAAAACCCAGGCCAGATTAAAGGGCCAGGCACCAAGTCTGTGTGCCCAACACAGAATCACCACCCAACAAAGGCCCATTAGGATTGGGCCCCTGCTGCCGGCCTGTCTTGTCACATCTCTCAATACAATGCCAACAGATTGGTGGAGACGGTTTCCTCCCCCTCCCCCAAACAATATTTTATGAGGAGTCTGTTTTATTAAAATATTTTCCGCTGGATGCTTCCTGTGTTTCAAGAAGTTGGTCCTGCCAGCTGGAGCTGATGACAGTTAAGAAAAACACATCCAAGTGCTGTTGTGACATGGCATTTGGAAGGGGAGGAGCACCATGGGGGGGTGGGGGAGGCAGCATGGGAAGAGACGTAGAAAAACAGTGGGTTGCACCAGAAATGCCACTGGCATTAAGGGAGAACAACCTCCCCTTCCTCGTTAAACAAACGTGAGCAGAAATCCTTGGAATGACGTCCTGAAACCTGCCCCTCTCTCTCCTTGTGGGCTGAGCTGTGACGTATGGTCACAGAAAACCTGTCATTTGTTTTCTATTGCTGTTAGTTTGCCAACCACCAAACTGGCTCCCGTGCTCCTGCTGGCTTATTTCAACCCCAAATATTTCCCAACAGAAGTAGAAAACAGGACATACTGAAACAAACAACAAACCAGTCAACCCAACCAACAAACCGAAAAGTGATACTGACACAGTTCAGGTGATAAGTGGGAAAATGGGATGATCAGATACCGGCTCTTTGGCACACACTGCGGAGTCGGCCCCTCTGCCCAGCAGGGAAAAGCAACGGCGTGAGTCGATGTGATGAGGAGTCTAGCCTCTCATTGGGAACTTGGCCACAAAATTGGTAATGCTTTTCTGGAGGATGTGGAGTATAGCTGGTGTTGAAATGGTGATTTTGTGTAATGCAGGAATGTTCTGGCTTACATCTCAGTAACAACAGGCCTGTGACCCTGTATCCTGGTTCAGTGTCTAAAAGGTTTAGTCCAGTTTTAAAGAGGCGACTTTAAAGAAATGAGATAAATTTCATCCCCTTAAGGAGGCATCTTTAGTCGGAGGCACTCAGGTGCCATGTAGCATTCTCTCCACAAGGGGGCAATCATAATCCATCCCTCAATGTTCCCACCAGGCTATTGTGCAGAGCAAAAGTTAAACTTACACCCAACTTCAGGAGTCCTCTCTTCCAAATATCTCATAACTGAGTATCCCTGTGTGCCATCACGTGCACACACACCACACACACAATTCCACGACTTTCTGGGCAAAGTCTGAGGGCTTTCTGGGTGGGCTGGTTCCTTAAAGACCGTATACCCTTATCAACTAGAGAATCCCCGAGCGCTGAAGTGAACTACAACTTGGGTTAGGCCCAGCTTGGCATTTGGAATCATTTTTTCCCTTCTCGCTCCAGTTCTGCCTCGGACCTGCCATGTCCCTTACCTTCTTTCCCTGAGACATTTTCTGAGAGCCAGCCAGACACGGGGGCCCTTTCCACCCAAAGAACTTCAGGATCCCTAGGGTAATTTTTCTGACTCCTCCAGCAATCCTAGACCAAGATGAACTCATGCACTTTTTCTAGGCATCACAGGAAGCCAGCGTGTCACCGCTGAGTTGTCTGGATAGAGACCGAGGGCTGCGTGCCTTGCAGACAAAGGGGAGCAGCGCTACTGTCTGCAGACGGCTGTGGTCTGGACTCAGAGCTGTCGGCAGCCTTCCGCCTCACCCTCTGCAGGCAGCTCTATCTCAGGCCACTGCTTGTCTTTCTGACTCATTCACCTCATCTACCCCATGCCTCCTGGGTAGGTGACTCTAGGCCAGTCCTACGGGAGGTGCTGGGCATAACACCCAGGGAGTTCCGCGTCTCAGGGAGGTGGGTAAGACAAACCACAGTAACATAAATGCTGTGGCACAGGTGGGCAAAGGGTCCTGGTGGGGCTGGGGCAGTGGATAAGGGCAGTCGTATACAGATCTCGGCCACGGAGGCCTAGGAAGGTGGGTGGGCCCGGTTCAACACTTGGCCTTCTTGACCAGGTTCTAACCCTCACCTAGTGACTCGGCTTCTTCAGCACAAGAGGCTTAGGACCTTCTTCTGAACCCAGCAAAGTACCCTTTGGACCTCACCACTCGAAATCCAGCCCAAGTGCCTCACTCCCTGGCCTCTGGGGCCTCCTGCTGGTGTGACAACCAGACCGAGTAAAAAATCAAGCCCTGTTCCCTGAATGACCCCTTTGTGAAACACCCGCTGGGGGCCCCAGGGAAGCCTCACAAAGGCTGGGGCTCCACGCTTAGGCTCCACAAAGTGCTGGCCCTGCAGACAGAGGGAGAGGCGCGATGGGGCACTCACTGCTCAGGGCTGGGCACAGACGTCCTCCGGCCTTCCACTGTGATGTTGCTCTTTGGTCTCTTAACGACATGTGGACGAGGTGGGCGCACCTGGAGGGAGTACGGGGGAGGCCCCCAAGAAGAAGTGAGTTGGAAAAGCCATACAGGAACATTCTGAAGACTTGAATAAACGCCACCCCCCACAAAATGTTTAGGGATTTTCAAAGCTACAGGCTATAAAAGCCTGGCCTATCATAGAAACATCACCATCTAATTGGCAGCAGATAGACACATTAACTGGAATTCTGTGGCCTATTCAAATCAGAAGGGTGCTCCTGGAAAGCTCGGTTCTTCATCTGCAAGATGAGGATAGTTCCACCAGTCTCCTCGAAGGGCTGCAGTGAGGGTCCAATGACATGATGTCTACATAGGACCCGGAACAAAGAGGCCCCTTATCAGTGACAATTCCCTCCCATCTTCCTCTGACACCCATAAGCTGGTTTTGTAGAAAGGGTTTCACTCAGACTTGTTTTTAGGGTACACATGCTTCGTTTGCTCTTTTTACAGCAGAATCACAGGGTGCTTATTTTCCTCTCTAAGAGAGGCATGAGAGAGTGGCAGTACAAACTATTTCTCCACTTCCCAGGGTATCCCTGTGCCACTCCTCCCAGGGGGTTCAGCCTGGATGCTGCATATCTCGTGTAGCCGCGCGCACCGTGGAGACCCACTGGGAGGGTCTGCAGTGGGCACACCAGGAGGGACACAGCTTCCTAACCCCACAGCTGCCGCTGCAGCAGAGAGATGGGTTTTCCTGACCTGCTGCCTCTGAAACCAAGATGAGGGCCCACAGAAAAAGATGCCTTCATCCCTTGATCCCCCGCCAGAGCCTGTGATAGGGGTTAGGCTGCCCTTAGAAGGACACTCATTTGGTCCAATCAACATTACATGGCTTTAAATTTGGCACAGCCATCTCTGTACACTCCCAGTGTCCGAGAGACAAGTTGAGAGCTACGCTGAGAAAGTCTATTTCTGAATTTCAGTGCCAACACAACCAACCGAGCCTACCAGGGCAGGGGGGCTTGCTATCTCTATGGATGGGATGCCACAATTGCTGACTTTCCAGGACAGACAGGGAAGGAGAGCAGGCGCACACTCCATTTCCTGCCTGCCCTTTTTCCTGAACATCAAACCCCTCGCCCCCCAGAAGCTTGTAGGCGACACAGCACAGTGGCTTAGGAACACAGATTACAGAAGCTGGTTGCATGAAAGACAAGTCTTTATGGAGTCTCATCAAGCCCTCAGGTCTGCACACGCCTGATCTAACCAAAGTTTTTCCTGTGGAGTGGCCAGTCTGATCTCAGACTGGTTTGGCAGATCAGGGATGTGGTAAACACCAAATGCATTCCACCAAACTGGCTGTCTTGTCTATGGGGTGATTGTGAAGACCAGATACAGGGAGAGCCCTGCATGGGGTCCGGTACATAGTGGGGGCTCAATAAATGCGCATCCTGCTCCGTGACCTGGGTGTCCCTTCCTATCAACAACAAAAGGAAGACGAGGCGGGGATGTCTCTGGATTAGAAGATGAGTTTTAGGATTCTCTTGTCCCTGCCTAGCATTCTGCGGACTGCCTGGTGTGTCATGGTCGCTCAGCAAGATTTTCAGAAACAAATGAACGCTGCTGTTCGGAATCTGAGAAGCGCGTGATGACGTTGCTAGTATCATCATTGTTAGAACCGGGCCTGCCACACACTCACATTTAGTCAACATGGGCTGAATAAACAAGTGGGTATCCCCGCACCCCCCTAACTCTCAACTGCTTTCCCCAGCTCTGGCAGCTGGTAAGCAGGGTCACCTGGCTGGAATGATCCCCACCCCCAACTTCTCCCCACAAAAGGTGGGAGTGTGGGTTAGGGTGACGGGACAGTTCTGTCCCTGCCCTGGGGGCCCTGGGGCAGAGCTTTCAGGAAAGGTCAGACTTTAAGGCCTGTCAGCTCGTCCTTGCACAGGGCTGCTCCTCGCTACAATAAAGGCGGGTTAAGAATGTGAACTTGTGGCTGAAATGGGGGGATTAAGTTTGTGGCAACTTCAACTGAACTTGCAACGTGGTGAAACATGGGGAAAAAGAACAACAGAGCTAATTAGACGAGCTGAGCTGTCAGAGTGCCGCTGAATGGCTCAGCGCCAACAAACAAAAGGAATGGGTTGGCAATCAGCGGGATCGGTGGAGGAGACTGCTTCATTAGGGATGATAAAACAGACAGAGCAGGGGGGGAGGGGCGGGGGGCGGGGAGCGCCGGAGCCGCCGAGGCTGGGGAGGGAGAGAAAGACACGCCAGACCCAGAGGCGGTGGGTCACCAGCGCGGCTGCCGACCCACCCAGAGTCACACACACCTGACTGGTGTGGACAAAGCCAGACACAAAATTACCCTTGCAGACAGGACCATCCCGAGATACATGGAGGCCTCCTGACTTCCATGTACACAAATCTCACAAATACACACTCACAGAGGCACGCGCAAGAGGTTAAGGCACATCTATGAATCACACACGCGCACGCACACACACTCACACGGTGGCGGACCAAAACCAGGCACAGATACACACAGACAAAATGGTTTAATTAAGCCCAAATCACAGACGATACAGACAAGTCTCGTCATATTTCAGCGATCACACCTGTCTTTTCGGGGTGCTTGGGAAGGGTGGGCATTGGGGATGAAGAACCTCGCAGGCACACAACAGTGACTGTCCCCAGCGGTGTGAGGGTCCCAGCCGCGCCAGGGGAGAAAATGCTAAACAGAGATTTCCAGCTCTGTTCAAGGGGGACTGGAGGGGAAACTTGGGAAGCCAGCCAATTCCCCACTGGATTTAAAACCTGAGAAATCTAAGTCGGCAGGGTTAAATGTGTATTGAATACAAAAGCACTGAGTACATTTGATTTTAATGGTGAGCAAGAAATAATAAATACAGGGCTTATAAAGCGCTTCACAAGCAGGCTGACAGCAGCCTGCCTCTCCCTGGCAGGCCCCAACCCATGCCCCTTCGTCCATGAGACACTGGAATGGTTTTCTTCTGCTCTTTCCTTTTTCTTCTTTTTAAAAAGAAAACCCAAATCCTCGGGTAACATCTGAACTCCAGCCACAGGTGCCGGGCTACAAAGCTCCTTCCAGAAAGTCTGAATGGCTAGACCCTCCCCCACCCCTGCTACTCTGGGCCAACAGCTGCACTTCTGTCTGGAACATTTGTGGCTAAGTGACCCAGCAAAGCCACGCTGGTGGCTGGTGGCCCCTGACATGGGAAGTTTGTAGGCTGTCCTCTTCGAGGCCCCTGTGGGCTTCCATATGTCGAGTCTCCCCAGTTCCCACCTAGTGTGTGGCAGTGTGCACTGGAAATGCTTGCCTCAGTGCATGGAGAATCAACGGTCCCTAGCGGCCCAGAAAGCACCAACCTTCTGTGACTCCCAAATTGGTCTCTTAGTGGTGTGGCTTGGCAGAAGTAGTTCGGGGGACATGCCAGGGACTGTGGTAGCCACTGTACATATACAATCTCGTTACCCTTACCAGGTGGTACTGTTAAACCCATTTTACAGATGATGAAACTAAAGCTCAGAGAAGGTGAGGATCCTGCCTAAGGTCACACAGCCCAGAAGTGGCCGAGCTGTAATTCAAACCAGGGCAGGCGTCTCTAACTTCCAAGCCTAGGAGAGCTGGTCCTCCTAGGCCCCCCTGCCTCTTTAGCATGCCATCAACCCAGGAGGTCCAGCCAAAGCTAGCGCCAGGCTAGTCACCTCCTGCATTAGCTCAGTGCCTGAGGCCACTGCTGCTCAGTGTCTCACAGCGTCTGTCTCCCCAAGTCCCCAGCTGCATGGATGCGGCTGCCCACCCCTCCATCTGCACAGATCCCCACACTAGTAAGACAACCTGGAGTCCACTGTAGCTGTCTCCAATACTTGACTTTTTCTAAGGGGAGTGATCCTTCCCTGAATCACGACTTCCAAAAGATTCCTTGCCCGCTTAGGATCCCGAGCCTCCGAGGGGAATTCTAAGGGCTACCTGCTGCTGACTTTGGCTTAAGGGGAGGCTGTTTGCTAGAAAACAAAGAGAGACAGTGGAGAGAGGCAAGCTGGGCTCAAAGGCAGGATTGTCATCAGGCCTATCATCGTCCCTGTGGTGTTGGCCATAAATTAGGGAGATAGCATCTGCCTGCTCTGGGCTGGACAAATGAGATAATCATCACACAAGTGCCCAGCACAGTCCTAGGCACCATGAATGGTGCTCAATGAATATTCATTCTCTTCTCTTCCGTGTCTCTGCAAGACCTAACACTGGAGATTCCACAGACATCTCAGCTGCTGCTGGTTATTTGTTTTCTTGACTGAATTTTTTTCTCCCCCAGCATTTTATATAGGTTGAGTATCCCTAATCTGAAAATCCAAAATCTGAAACCCTCCAAAATCCCGGACTTTTTGAGCCCCAATGTGATGCTCAAAGGAAATGCTCACTGGGGTATTCTGGATTTTGGATTAGGGGCACACAACCAGGACGTATCATGCAAATATTCCAAAATCTGAAACAAACTGAAACCTGAAACTCTTCTGGTCCCAATCAGAAGATGGAAGATCCAGAGAGCTTGGAATGCTGGCAAGACCACGAGTTCTAGAGTCCCGATGACCTTATTTGCAGTTGAGGAACCTGGGTTAAGTTACCAAGCATCAGTGTTCTCATTGCTAAACTGAGTGGTGACGATGCCTGCTTCACTGAACCATTGTGAGGCTCAGCTGGGGTGAGGCACCTAAGAATGATTTGCTGACTGTAAAATCCTAGGCAAATGATAGTTCTTAATAAACTGGGCCATTCCTTAGAGGCTGTAGGATGTAAAAAAAAACCTGTTAAGAATAAAACTGCTACTGTGTGCCAGGCACTGTGTGTGTTCTACAAATGTCATCCATTTTCCTTTTCACAAAACCCCTCTAGGAATGAGGGCACAGCCCAGGAGGTGAAATGAGACTCAGAGAGCTTCAGTGCTTGCCAGATCACACGACTTCAGCATTCAAGCCTACCTCTGTCGGCCTCCCAAATATGTGCTGTTAAGGACTGTACTGAAACTCTCACTAGTCACACAAGGTTCAGTCTAGAAGGGGCCTCCTGCCCCACAAAGCAGTTTCTTTTTGCTGCTTGTGTCTTCCTTCCAGAGACAATGAGCAGACATAGTCTAGCTCCTTGCCAGCTGTGCTGATGGGGCTTTGGGCCAACCACACTTTGATGGGGGGTATGGGATGGATCCACTGTCATGTGTGGCTGGGAGTGTAGACTCACAGTGGTCATAGGGGAAGGCATCTAAGGCCCCCCAGCCTCCCTCCTGGCCCTCTAACTCTCACCCACAGTAGGAGGGGAGGGAAGGGGAAGGGGAACAGTGCCATGGAATGGTCAACATGCACCCAGAGAGCAGCTACCCAGTGGATGCTGGGTGCATCTCCCAAGGTGAACAGATGCAGTTCACCTGGTCACCTACATGCCCCAGCCTCCTTGCCTTCACAAGATGGATTTGGATACGTGCACTGCAGAGGGCGGGAGGGTTAGGACACTGGGTTGTAGGGTGCTCTTTGGCTGGCCACAGAGTGATGGTCACAATGAACAGTAGATGGAGAAACTTCTCCCTTGGTAAGCAGCCCTCACCAAAAGGTCCTGGCAGGTTTCCCACTTTCAAGGCACCTGCTAAAGTCCACATGCCTCAGCATGGCAGAAGTCCTACCAAGGAACATGACTCCACTGATACTTATGGGACCCAGACCCAATATTTTTCCATGGATGGATATCTCACCCTCCCACCCCATTCCCAGGAGGTGGTGGGTATATATTTTTTCCTGCTTCCCCATCCTTACTTTTTTTTTTCCCCCCTTTTAAGAGACAGGGTCTTGCTCTGTCACCCAGGCTGGAATGCAGTGGAACAATCATAGCTCACCGTAGCCTCAACTTCCTGGGCTCAAGTGATCCTCCCATTTCAGCCTCCTGAGTAGCTAGGACTACAGGCGTGCACCACCATGCCCCTTACTTGGCACTTTACATGGGAAGGCGGATCTCCAAGGAAGGCCTGGCAGGGGAGCGGTACCTGTCTCCATAAGAGATGGCTCCGCACTCTCTGGACATAGCCTCCACCCGCAGGAAGGTACAAACGCATTTCCAGGCCAAGATCTGGCAGGAAGGAGACCCCTGCCCCCAGAGACCCCTGCCCCCAGACTTCTGCTTCCTTTGTGAGGAACAGGCGAATGGAGGAAGGCTTTGAACCCCTTGCTCACCCTGTGAGACTTGCTCAGATGATGCACACACAGCACACACACCACACAGTGACCCCCTTGCTATCTACAGCTCTGATCTGCAAGTCACCAAACTTATTCAGAAAAAAAGCGAGAGAAGCCCAGAAAATGCAAGCTCATGCCACACAGACAGGGAAGCTGAAAAACCCAATTCCCGGTTCTCTTCTGCCAGGCAGGAGGGTCCAAACTCCGGAGGTTTAGTCAGGCTGAGGGAGGACGGCTCAGGCAGTGTTAGGTGGGGGGGGGCGGAACCGCCGGCTACTCACGGGCCTCGAGCGCTGTATCTTGGGAGGCAGTCGGGTGGGACGGAGTCTCTGCAGCTGCATTAAAGTGGAAACTTAAAACATCAGGATACGCTGAGAAGGCTCAATGCATTTCCACACACGGCCTGGGGAAGGCACCCAGTCACCTGAGCCAGAGCCAGAGGGCCATCCTTGATGCCTCCCGCCTTGTCCCCACTGTCCACCTCTGAGGCTGGCTCCTCTGCCCATTCTTTCTTTCTAGCCTGTCTCCAGACTGGATTACTGCAATCATCCCCCGACAAGGCCCCCAGCTCCGCCCTCCACCGTGCTCCACACAGGCCGGGGGGCCTTCCCAGGTGCAATACGGCCACCCACACCCTCTCCAGACCTCTCACGCCCCCTCCTGTCCTTGGGTGCCTGCTCAAGGCTTGGGGCTGGCGCTGTATGTCCCTCAAGACCGGGACCCCACTGTGTCCCACACAGACCTTTCTCAACCTTCACCCATGCCCGCCCTGGGCAGGCCCTTTAAGTAGCCCTGGGCTCTCATGCCTAGTTTCCCACTGCCCTCCGGGTGGAACGGGTGGCTCCAGCCAGACTGTGCTTGTCCTTCAAGAGCCCGTCAGGTTGGGTGCTGCCTCGACTCGCATTGCCTCCTTGTCTCCTGCTATGTGGGACCAGCATGGGGTCCCTCACCCGCTACCCCATGGGACCTTTTACATGTCGGTCTCCAAGGGGGTTCATCCCTGTGCCTGCAGGCTGCGTGGGACTTGGGAAAAAATCTGCTCAATAACGTCTGATGAACAAGTAAAATTTGTACAAAATGATTGGCTTTTGAAATCAGGATTTGAATCAAAACCTGTAGAGTACAGACTTCTCAGCTCTACGCTCAAACCCTTCATCTTCAAAGCCCAGCGGTGTCCTTTCAACAGCCTGCCTGTCTCCATGCTCTTGCAGGTGTGGGAGACAGGGAGCCCGAGTAAGGAGAGTAGAAATTCACGCGAGACCCAGGCCACGGACCCGCAGCCATCCCCGGGAGGCTTCCGGTTGTTTCCTTCCCATTCCGTCACTCAGGTCACAAAGAATTATCTAACTGGACAAAATCCAGACCTGCCCTGGCCAATATAGGAGCCAGTGTCCCCAACGGCCAGTCCATGCTAAGATGTGCTATAAATCCCAGCACTTTTGGAGGCCAAGGCAGGCGGATCACCTGAGGTCAGGAGTTCAAGACCAGCGTGGCCAACATGGCGAAACCCTGTCCCTAAAAAAATAAAAAAATCAGCCGGGCATGACGACGGGTGCCTGTAATCCCAGCTACTTGGGAGGCTGAGGCAGAAGACTCACTTGAACCTGGGAGGTGGAGGTTGCAGTGAGTCGAGACCGTGCCATTGCACTCCAGCCTGGGCAACAGAGTGAGACTCCATCTCAAAAAAAAAAAAAAAAAAAAAGTGCTCTAAGTGCAAAACACTGGACTTCAGAGACTTAGCACAAGGAGAGACTGTCAAACACCACAGTAATACCTTTTAGATTACATGTTGAAATAATATTTTGGATATACTGGGTTAATTATATTAAAATCAATTTCACCTGTTTATGTTTCACATTCAGAATTCCACAGGCGACTCCCGTAGGAAGCTCCCATGATGTTTTCCTTGGACAGTGCTGATTTACAGCTTTACTGAGTGGGAGTGATACTTCAGATCTCAAATCTGCCCTATAACTTGCTTTCTGAAGCTGCCCCACTACTCCTGGAGGATAGGGCCTGTGTCCCAGTTGCCCCTGGGTCCCTGCATGGAACCTGCTGGGGCAGCCTTAGGGGAAAGCTGGCCTGGGGACTTGGTGGAGGGTTTCCTGGTGGCACATGGAGAACACGTAGGATAAAAATACACCCCGGCTTCCCAGATCCTATGTCATTAGCTGGGCGTGAGGGCCGACCCTCCCTTGGTGACCCTTCTTCAGCTGGAGGCTACCTGGGAGTTGGGGATGCTGCCTGGGAATAGGCAAGGCCGCCATGTTTTTTCCCCTTCATGGCTTACAGGAAGTGTGTGAGGTAAAGGAGAACAGGCCCACCTACTCATTCACACTGCTCAACAAGAGGAAGAGATGGTGAGGGAAAGGGGAGCCCACACCCCCACGGGCACACAGGCTGCTATCCTCTGTTTGGACACCCCACTCTCCTATACTACTCCCCAGTACTGCTTCTCTTATGCTTGGCCTTTCTACTTCGGGGGACCAATTTCTCCAGTCCCGCTGTCCTCACTGCTTGTCACCTCTGGCCTGGGCTATTTCCGCTCCGGCTAGGTGGCAGTGCAGCAGAGTGCTCATGAGGCAGCCTCTGGGGCCAGACAGTTTTGGACAGAACCTCAGTTCTCCCATTAGCTCCCTGGGTTACTCCAGGCCCACGATTTGACCATTCCGAGCCTTGCTGTCCTCATCTGTGAAGAGCAGGTAACAGCAGCGCCTCCCCAAGTGGGCCGTTAGGAAGATTCAGTGAGCTGACGGCCGTCAGGTCTGTGCACAGTGCGGCCACAGACATTAGCAACCATTACCATTAGCAGGTTTCCTTGCCACCAGCCTCTCCCTCTCCCAGTCCGTCTCCTACATTTGTTTCCAGAATGGACTTTAAAAATGCCCATGAATGCCCACCCAATCATGCCACTTGCCAGCTTAAATCACCTCAGTGGAAGGCTGGCATCTCGCAGGGTATCTGCTGAGACACCATCCTGGGAGACGCTTTGTATGAAGGGAAAAAAGGAGGTTCCCCAGCCAGGCGAAACTGAGAAATGCGGTCTTCTTTCTCCTTTTGGGGATTCACAATGCCTGTTAGCATAGCAGAGGCTGGTGAGTCTAGCGAGAAAAGCACCCACCCAAAGCAGGCAAAAACCTATTAACTCTTTTGTAAAAGTCCTATTTCCCAGATTTATTTGAACATAGACTTGCTTTCCCTATAACACCCATGAATGGAAGATGCTGTCTGGTGTTCAAAGCCCTCCAGATTCAGGACCCCACATCCACCTCTGCAATCTCATCTCTGCTGAAACCCTGCCTCATATCCACAGCACACCGACTGTCGTTATCAGCTTGCTCATGTCTCTATTTATCGTAGGGTCTAGTAGAGTACTTGATACCTAATAGGTGCTCAGCAAATTATTTTTGGCTTAAACTTCCTGGTACATGTAAAAACACACCAGAAGTCAGTTCTCCAGATTCTTCAACTAACTTACTTTCTTTTGGTTGTCATCAGGAAGTGCTGGTTCTTTTGCAACTGAATTGATAAATGGCAGGAAGAAAGCAGCCTCTGGACCACACCCAGCCTAGAAGCTAATAGAGTCAACTGGGGGATGTAAAGATGCCAAGAAAGAGGAATGTGGTACAGATGTCCTGGCGCGACCAGATAGAGAAAACAAAACCCAACCACGGCAACCAAGAGCAGGAAGCCACACTGCCCCTTCTGACGCTTGGGGAGGTTTCCATGCGGGTTGTCAGCATGAAGGGACCCTGTCACTAGAGGAAACACACAGGGACAGGGGCCTGCACTCACGGATCCTGGGCTTGTTATGATGCTGGAGCATATCATGGGGACACCTGTGGGGTGGCCGCCAGGAAGAGAAAGGTGAACTCCCAGGAGGTGTGCATTAAAGACTCCCCGCCCCGGGACTTGGGGGAGGGCTGCACTAATTATCAGGATGCCCTGCCAGGAGTGTGCAGGCCCTGGGGACCAGAGCTGAGGCTGGGGACAGGTGAGCAGCTGGATTGTCACCAGCATATTAGACAATGATCCCGTGGGAAGCAGTCTCAGATTTTGGACGCTAGAGCATCTGATGTGTGCAGTGCCCTCCTGCTCCCACCACAGAGGCTCCAGGCCCAGTTGGTTTGCTGAGTGACTTTGGCAAGCAAGTGACTTCCCTGGGCCTCAGTGTCCTCATCTGTAAGCGCAGTCACTAGGGCCCTGCTGCAGGGTCAGGGGCACAGTGGACACACTGCCAGGGAGGCCTCTGCTTCCTAGACAGGGTGTAGCGGGGCCACTGGCCATGGTGGATGTACTTCAAATAAGCTGGGGTGTCCCCAGCTGGGGACACAGATGGGGGAGGAGGACTCTGGAGACCATTAAACAGGCCTTAGTGGGCGAGTGGTGGTGATTTGGGTGGGAAGATGGGGTAAGAAGATGAGATGGAAAGGATTAACTCAGAAAAGCACACCCTCTTCTAGAGAGTGGCCCTGGTGCTCCAGAAGCCGAAGCCGTCACTAGCTGAACGTGGCGACCACAACAGTGTTGGGTGAGGCCTGAGAAGGTGGCAGAGCTGGCCAGGACTCAGTGAAAGTCGTTTTGAGCCTGGAGCGGTTCGTCTCCCATCTGGCTCAGCTCTTGTTCTCTGCTTCCCCAGCCCACAGCCTAGGGCTGAGGCCCTGGGCCTGCTCCTGTTTTAACCTGGTGCCCTGGCCTTGCTAAGCGGCCTAGTGGCCACAGACAAGGGAACAGATTGGAGGGAGGTAAAGCGACCTGCTCAATGCCCCCAGCTGGTAATGGGCAGGGCTCGGAGCAGGTCTCAGGCCTCTTGACTGTGAATCCAGTGCTCTTTCCACCGTTGAAGGAAGCAAAGGTAAAACAGGAAGAGCTTTAAAGTAGACGCAGCAGAGAATCCAAGAGATCTGGGCATCTTTGCATCGAGGTCACGTTATAGGTGATCCTCTGTCCCTTGGCCAGGTTGAAATGTGGCTACACAGACTGCTGTTTCTTAAGTCAGTTAAAAAAGACTGGGCCTTTGGTGATCTTTTGCTAAGGAGAGTTCAATTAGACAGTTCCTCCGGCACTTCCCGAGCTGGGGCATGGCAGGAGGGGTGGGAGGGCCAGCAGAGTTGGGAGAGGGCTGGAGGTTTCTTCAACGGTCAATGCAAAATACCTGCCTTCCTGAAAAACACATCTGGTGGGGGAGCAGATTGGCTGTCACAGAGTGGAAGGATTCCTCCTGTGTGTGTTTATGTAGCAAGTATTTGGGGGCCAGGACCAGGGGCTTCAGAGAGCAAGAAACAGTCCTTGTCCTTAAGAACTGCATAGTCTGGTGGGATTTGATCTACACCAT